GGATGTAGTTCGTTGCGAAACGAACTTAATGTTGACGTTGGAGAACTCCGTCCTTGCCACTACGAGCGATCTCAACGCTATTTTCAGCTCAACCCTGAATCTTAATGAGCATTACAATCATGTTACCAGAGTAGGCAGAGCTTTGAGAATTCTGTTCGGATTCTTGAAAGATTTTAAGAAATCCTTCCACGCATTGAATTTCGATACCCTAATTTGATCTGTCCTGTAATAATTATCATTTGTCTGAATATATATGTCATATGGGATAAAATTTTTACCATCGAGTTATATCGAGAGAAAAATTTTAATTAATTTCGAATGAAAATAAAAAATACTTGCATTTTTTTAATTCCATGTATTCAAGATCATGATCAATATCGTAGTTCATTTCTCTCGTTCTATATTTAAAATGCGGCAAAAAAAAAGATTTATTCTGCTCACTGCCAACGGATCGATGTTGTAAGCAAATAGCGAATACTTCGTCAAAATTGTGCAACGTTTGTATTCATCCGGTGTGAACATTTATTGCGCGTTATCGGCTACAGAACGAAGAAAAATGTCATCGACTTTACATGGAATGAGATTTTTGAGTGACTCGCGCGGATTGTATCCGGCTTCGAAGACTATATATCATTTAACGAAGAGCGAGTAGAGATCGTGAATGATGAAACTCTTAAATATCATGAAAGGAGAGATTCACACTCGATTACTTCATAATCTCAATAATTAGAGCTGATTAAAGATTGAAGCTGATTGATATTCGCAAAAAGAATCGTTTTAATTTATAGTCGATCGAAATAGTTCCGCTCTTTTTTTTTTATTTCTTTCTCTCTTCTTTTTCTTTTTTTTCTTTCTTTCCCTTCTATTCTTGTATCGACATTGATACAATCCAACGTGAGAGTATACTTCTTTCCTCGAGTGTCTAGAACTTATGTTGAAAGTCCTTGAAAAGTTGAAATCTGTGAAGTTAACGAGAGACTTTAGCTATAATATTACATAGAGTTTAGAAATGGACCATAGGTTGTAACGTGGAACGAAATATTCACCGCTCTGAATCTCGTTAAATTCCCTGGGAGACCGAGAACAAGGCAGTTCCGTTGTTAGCTTTCCCCTTTCCATAGTTGAAAATATGTATTTCCATATAATATCGATCGAAATGAAGAATATTTAACTCATTTATATCCAATTTCAATTTTATTTTATTTCTCGAACCAAAAAATGCCTGAGAAAAAAAAGATTTATAAAATATAACGTAATTTTTTTCACTTAGTTTAAAAACCTATATCATAACCTATAATAAAATTTTTGTTTAGATAAATTTTCATTCATATATCAGATATTTAAATAATTTCATTGAATATTTTAAATAATATTACAATTTTTTTATTAGTAAAGAATCAAGATGGTGAACAGTCGATTTTCCAACGAAGGTTTACCAGAAGATTAGCAATACGAGAGTTAGCGTTAGCACGAAGATTAGATACACCGTGCAAAGATGTAGTTAAACGTAGAAGAGAAGGGTGTAGCAGCGCTGATATACTAATTGAATTAGTTATTTCGAAGCAGAAAGTTAAGGGCACGTCTGCGCCAAGTTTTCAAACTGAAATAACTCAGAGAATCGACGTGCTGGCAAGGGTGCTCGTGTACTCACCCTAAGAAGTTCTTATTAAGCTAAAAGTTTCGTTTGATACCGAGTATTATTATATTTCATTTGGGTATGAGTATTATTTATCATAATTCGAGGATCCGCTCTCTAATGAATTTTATTCCTGTAAAAATAAATCGATTATATTAAATAGAAAATAATCATGAATGTGAAATAATTAACTGACTAATTCTCAAAAAAAAAAAATACTACATATCATCATACTTTATAGAGTTATTATTATAGAGATATTCGTTACTTTATAGAGTGTTTGTTTTTGATAAATCAAGGCTTCGGTATTTAATTCATTGAAATATCAGAATAGTTTATATGAGAAAAAAATGAAGAAATACAAATTACAGATAATCGAATTGTTTTTTAAATATAAGTAAAAAAGAAAAAATACATTTTATGATTTAATTTGATAAAATTTCAATAGATATTAAAGAAACTAATATATAATGCGTTAATATATACTAATAATGTAAATTAAATGAGAAATCTTATTAGTTGTTCGATATATATTCGTTAATAATCGAATGATGAATATTTTTTCAATTACTAAATATGCATTGTTATTAATATCAATTATTAGACAAAAATCGTATTTATAAATGATGTATTTTATTTGTTTGAGTGAAAATTTTTTTAAAGAATAGAAGCTGAAAAATATAACAGCATGATTTGATAAAAAATAAATATGGAATATTAATTCGGCAATATTTTGTTTTTTGCTCTTAGTGATATTAAAATCAAAATAATAATGGATTACTATTATATAGAAAAATCAAAATATTATAATATATAGATTATTTTTAAAAAAAAATTATTATTACTATCAAAAAAAAATTGATTATATATTTTGCAAAGCAACAAATCAATTATTGAAATTAAAATCTCAGTTACTATTAATAGAAAAAATAATGGTATTACACGTTTATGGTATTTGTAGATGTTTTTGTGAATAATCACATGTTGATTAGGCAATATTTATATAAATAATGGACAACGTTTCATTTGTACGATCAAGTGCAATTACATAATAATTCGAATACAGATTCATCTATTGAATATTATCTATAAGAAATTTATTATTTTAACTTTTCTATTACCATCATGCATCTAAATAGAACGAAAGAATTATATAAATGAGTCTCAATTTTTTATCGAGTTCTCAACAATTTATTTTCGGAGATTTATCACTTTGATTGTTATTCAAAAAAAAATATAATTTACTAGGAAATTAAGGAATAAAGTGAATAGTGGAACATGGAGAGATTATTTACTTGATATGGAATTTTCATCTAAAAATATTAATTTTTTTTATTACATCAAAAAAAAAAATAATACATTTTTATTAAATAAAGTTTTATTTTAAACTTCTTTATAGAATTTGTGTGTTGTTACCTTAATTGTATCCTCAAATTTGATAAGCATTAAGTCTCGATATCACGAGCATTTTGAAACGCTGAAACAAGGGCGTTTAATTGTACTGTTTCACTACAACCAATAGATACCCTTTTTTCTATTTCAG